ATATCTATCAGAACACTGACAGTACGTTTTTTCCCAGGAGGAAAAGTCGGCATTGGGGAAGAGGCGGCCCCAGGTCAGGCGCTGGATTTGAGCAGAGTCTTCCATCATCTCTCGGACCAGCTCCTTCTTTTCTTGCTCGGCCTTTTCCGAGAGCTCCTGAGTAAGACTCTTCTCCTGGGTCACCAGGCGTTCCTTAACGTGCGCCAAGGATTTCTCCAAGGTGTCGTATGAGGACATTTTTTGGCAAAGAGGTCTCAGCTCGGCCTTGAGATTGTTGATGGTCGCCTCCAGCTCGCTATTTTTCTTCTGGGCCGCCTCTAACTGAGCCTGGATAGCAGAAGTAGCCTGCGCCTGATAATAAAGAATGTCAATTGTCAGAACCTCATTTTGGGCAATTTGAAACATTGCCTTATCACAGTCAGAGGCGGCCATAGCTTTTGCAGCCTTTACCTCTTTGTTCTTCCTGTCAAGCGGCTTGCGAAGGCCGTTCACTCGGAGCAGGGCCTAAGTAAAAGGGAACAGGCGTCAGTTTTCAAACAAAAAACAGACGTCCTGGAATTTAAATAACCAAAAATATGCTAAGTTTACCTCAGCAAGGACCCCTGAAATCCCGACTAGATCAAGGGTGCCGACACCCCTGACCGCCTCCCTCTCAGCCGGAGGGACGGCTTTGATCATAGACTTGGCCACCTCGACCAAGTCTGGCTCCTGAGGGCCGGCTGCATCAAGCATAAACAAACGGGTTAGACCAAGTAAGGAAGGGAGCAAGTCTAAAATTCACAAGGACAACTTCATACTTCTAGGTGGCCCGATTGGAGTTTTAGATGGAATGGACGGCTGTTTCTCAGCCGCCGCATGTTTCCTGGCAGAACCAGGAGAGCTCGCAACAGTCGTCCTCCGGGTCTTGGAGTCCGGCTGTTGGGAAGAAGAGGCTCTTGGAGTGCCCGTCTTTAAAAAAAAAAAAAAAAAAAAAAAAAAAAACAACACTCGGTCAGTATATGCATAAACCCAACTCCAAAACGAGAGTGAAAGGTTCGAAGCTCACCAAGGGCACCCCCTTGTTGGGGGAGTCGATTGAGGACTGTTGCATGATGGAGGCCCGCAACATGGCCGCCGCAGTCTTGGAGGCGGTAATTTTGCTCATGGCGTCCGCTGCAAAAACAAATAGCAAAGTTAATAAAAAGTCATAACAGTAACGCATGGAAAAACAGAGTATTCGACAAGTCGGCTACCTCTTGAACACCGACTGCTGAGGCCACAGGCGACCAAAAAGTACTCGTCGTAGAGCCATTTGAAGCTCGGGACGCAATGCAGGGGTACTTGCTCTCGTACCCCTGAAGTAGAGTCGACCCGCGACTCTACTTTAAAGAGTCCTTTATCCAGGATCTCTTTCTTAGCCTTGGGGGGAACAGGCAGCATGCTGCGGCCGCCTGCAAGAAGAGGCGGATTCCTGTTCCACCTGTTGAAACGCTTGTTCAGCTCTCTGTCTAAACTCTCAATGATAAGGAAGGTGCTTCGCCAGTCCTTCCACTTGTTTGCTTTACCTCTTGTCATGAGGTAGCCTCTGTGGCTCGTCAATTGATACCAGCCGGTACCGCCTGCCTTAGGGGGCCGGCTGAGGTAGTTCATGTGGGAGAAAGCCTCGAAGTTTGGCTCCACCCCGTGCAGTTCACACCCGGCCACATAGCCGAGTACGTTGACCCAGGAGTTCGGGGCTAACTTCCATAACCCCAACTCATACCCATCCAAGATCCGCTGAAAAGCCGGATGTAGTGGGAAGCGCAGCCCAGCCTTGATGGCCGCCTCGTAGCAGCCAAAGCAGGCGCCATCATAGCTAGTACCAGCCGGCCAGACGACTGTGTCTTCTGGATCCGGCACGAAAACTAAAAAGCCGGGGCCCATTGTGTGGTTCGCAATAAAGCTCCCCACTTTCTCTTGCATGGCCGTGATCCGGCCCCGTGGGACAGTGCATTAGTAGGGGGTATTTTGCTCTCGGTAAGAGGCGGATGGTTCCGCCCAATTGTCCCCCTTCTCAACTGCGTGAGAAAGCCTCGCCTCTTGTAGGCGGCTGTTTTTCTCTTCTGTGTCCAGAGAAGTATGACCAGAAGAGCTAGATTCGAATTCGTCCTCTGACGAGTCCGAAGAGGACGACTCCTCCCTTCTCCCAAAGGGGCCCGCCTTCTCTCCTTCAAAAGGGGCAGGAGAGAATGTAGACTTGTCAATTGTAAAATTGGAAGGGATCACTTTGACTCCTCCCTCAGAACTGTCGGCTTTCAAGCCGCTTTGGTTCACTTCCACATCTGGCGCCTGGTCAGATGTTTCACTAATCGGCACCCTGTGGGAGGAGCCGTCTGAGTTCGAAATCCTAGCAGTTCTTTTTGTTCTGGCCATCATGTTCTGCATAGACACAGAGACAGTCGGACTTTGTATAAAGGGCAAAGATGGGTCCGGAAAAGGGCAGGCGACACTCCTAGTCCTAGATTCAGCCGTCCCCGGTGACCGGCTGATCACTAACCTAGGTCGTGTCGTGTGCTTCCGTGGTGCCATTTCAAAAAAAAAAAAAAAGAAAAAAAAAGAAGAAGAATAAAATAAAGAGAAAATTAAGAGTAAGAGAACCGACGGTTACCTGAACGAGTAAAGTTGACGGAGTTCTGAAAATCCTGTGCAGTCGGCTTGTCAGAGCAGGCGGTAGGCAGAAAGGGTCCAAAATGTCAGAGCAAGTTCAGGGGTCCGAATGTTCTCTCTAAAAGTTCTCAAATGTGAAAATGACTGAAGTCAACACTCCCTTATATAGGCGAAGTGAGAAGGCGAAGGGTCACTTCCAAAATTCAAAATTTGGGCGGGAGAATCTCTCGGCCTTTCGCCGAGTGACACCTGTAGCAGGCCGTCGCCTGTTACAGTGCGACACCTGTCACAGGTAACACGTGACATGTCACGTGCTACCTGTGAGGGGCAAATGATTAGGGGATTTTGCTCCCACCAATCGGAATGCGCCACGTGGGTCAATCAGGTCCTGCCAAGTGTCCCCCAGTTGGAACTGTCAGGGTTTGCCACGTGGCACACGCCTATTCGTCCACCCTGGACCTATTATGTCACGACACGTGGCATCCTCCATGCCTAATGGAGAAACCGGCCACCTAGGCCCAACTTCCAAGGGAAGCCCAATCAGCCCTAGGTTAACCTAAACCTAGGATTGACACGTTTCCCAAGGTTATAAATACCTCCCTTAATCCTCATTAAGGGAGATTACGCACATTTAACACTCTCACCTAGAGAGACCCAATCACTTTTATTTCCGTATTAATTACTCCTTAATCAAGTACTAACTTGACCGTCGGAGGCGGATCTCCAATCATCCGGAGCATCCATTTGTTTTGCAGGTACTGGCGTCCGGTTCCAGTCTCGGAATTGTAACTCTCCCGCAGGACATCAGAAAACCCCGAAACAGGTTGGGTGTTCCATTGTTCTCTATCTCGACGTTGTGCTCTGCTTGTTCGAGGGTTTTTGCTGGAGATATTTTCGGTGATCACGCAGTGTCTTGTGCCGGTATTATGGGTATTAAATATCGATATAATGCTTGTTCGGGATACCCTTGTTGATGTTTGCTATCGTTCTGGGATTTCAGCGAGAAAAGAGGTTGACATTGGGTTGGCTGGAGGGAACGACGAGATCCTCTGACCCGCGGATGTGTTACTTTATTATGGGATCGTGGTCGCGATGTCTGTGTTGATTTGACAGGGTCTTCTTCTTTGACACAGTCAGTGCTATCTGACTTCATTCCTGGGCGGGTTGTGGCTGATGCAGCTCATCGGAAGCGGGTTAAGTATGAAGCTCGATGTCAGGCGATTGGATATGGTTTCATTCCCTTCTCCTTTTCTTCGTTTGGGGAATTAGAGAAAGAGGTTGTTGCGTTACTGAAGCGGATTCAGAGGTTCTCGACGACGCAAGACATTGGGGCTCGTGCTGCAGCTCATATCTTCACTAGGGTAGGATTTGCAATAGCTAGAGGAGTGGGGGCCCATATTGTATCTCGGCTTCCCACTAATTTATTGTAGGTTGTATAATAATAATAATAATAATAATAATAATAATAATAATAATAATAATAATAATAATAATAATAATAATAATAATAATAATAATAATAATAATAATAATAATAAATAAATAAATAAATAAATAGAAGTAATATGGAGTATCAAAAGATAAATAAAACGAGGGTTGTATTAAACTTATTAATTATATATCAATAATTGTGTAGGATTGAGAATTTGAGAATTGAGATGGGACAATATTGTAAACTTTTGATTTTGTGTTAGGGTCAAGATTGTGTGAAGAAAAAGGATCGTACATTTTTTATGAGACAAGAAGTAAATCAAATTAGTGGAATTTAGTAGAAAGAGAGAATTTTTATGTGTACAATATGCTACTTTGGACTAAATAATTACTTAAATCACAAAGGTATTTTATATTTTAAAATAGTTTTATAAAATATCTAAAAGTAATTAACTTTCACTTTATTTTATTGCATACAATGATGATTGATGAGACAAAAGTCAAAAAACGAGTACTAGCAATTTGCAAGTTAAAAATTGACAATATTTTTGTTTGAGGACATAAAGTCATAAATAGATGATATATATATGAGAAGTCGAGGACATTTATTTTATCTAATTGCAACTTGCAAAGTCGGCAACAAGCATTTGTGTACTATATAATACTCGTTGGATCGAGCTTATCTTGCTTGCATCAATGTAAGTCACTTATATAAAGTATCATTGAAACACTTAAATACTCCACATGAAAATGAGTTGCAACAAGCTAATACTCATCGTTTTGCTCATCGCTTTCTTTGTAGACCTCTCTTACTCTCAAGCATCACCAGATCTTTGTCATCCTCGCGACAAAAATGTACTCCTACGTATCAAGAAATACTTAGGCGACCCTGCCTCGCTTTCGTCGTGGGATCCCAAGACTGATTGTGCCGGATGGAATGGAGTCCGATGCAACATTGAAGGTCACGTTACCACAGTTCAATTTGATGATGCTCAAGATATCCAAGGCCCAATACCACCTTTTTTGGACCAACTTCCTAATTAGTATACACTAGACCCTAGTGTAGGTACCATAACCTACACCCCCTACAAAACGCAGCGTTTTGCGTTTTTCCCCTACCCCCACAAACTACAGTAACTACCCCCACTAACCACAGTAAAAAAAAAAAAACTATCCATATCAAATTATTCTCTCTCTAAAAACCATCTTCTTCATTTTTGTAGAATTTCTCTCTCATCAACACCGTCGAATCGGAACGAAATTCTCTTCAAATTATTGCAAAATTGCTTCAAAACACTTCATAATTACTTCAAATGTCTGATATTCGAGATGAAATTAAACAACCGCAGCAGCATTTTGATAAAGAGTAAGTAATTTTGTTCATTTGATTACGATTTTAGTACAATTTTTGTATGAAGCATAATTTTGGTTCTTTTCCTTGTGATTGTAGAGTGATTTTGCAAAAAAACGCTTTAGAGAAGAACATGGAAGATAAAACTGGAAAATCAGAGCAAAATGTTACCAAAGAGTAAGTAATTTTGTTCATATTCTTGCGATGACAATTATAGTGCGATTTTATGTGTGAAACCTAATTTTTGTTCAATTTTTTGCAATTGTAGTATGATTTTGGAGAAAAATACTTCACAGACGAGTAATTTGTTGAAAATTTCTGAAGAAATGTATGAACCCTAACTTTTGTAAAACCTAATTTTTGTTAAAATTTTTTGCGATTGTAGTAATTGTTCTAAGATTTTACTGAAAATAACTAAAACATTAACAATTTATTAAATAAAACAGAGACGATGATGATGATGTACCTCTTCAGTCAAGAGTAGACAAATTGAAAAAAAACCGCCAAAATGATCCAATTGTAGATCCGGAACTTTTAAAAGATATTGACAAGTCAATTGGTACGGATTTAACAATGTCTCCACTACCAAGGTAATTAGTCATTTACAGAATATATTATGTTCATGTCTAATATGCTAGTTGTATTTGATAAAATTGGTTTTATCTTTGTTTAATATGTTATTTGTATATGATCATATTTGATACTCATAATGTTCATTTATAGATATAGTTATGATCATATATTTATATTTGTTCATATGAGTATTTATTGAGATTTAAAAACAAAAGTACATTTCATTGAAACATCATTGTATATGATCATATTTGATACTCATAATGTTCATTTATAGATATAATTATGATCATATATGTATATTTGTTCATTTGAGTAGTCATTGAGATTTAAATAACAAATATACATTTCATTAAATCATCATGCACATATATAAATATGATAATAATCATTTCAGTGATATGCATTCAAACTAATGTCATGTAATTAATTTATAATGTAGTGATGTGCCATTTAGAGTGATACACTTGCTTCAATTTAGAGATGGGAAATCTGAACCATTAACTCTAAAGAAGGTTATACAACAAAATGAATATGGTAATAGTTATGAAAGATACACTTTAAACAAGTAAGTTTATATGTATAAAATAATTGTTTTTACATTCAATTATTGTACATTGTATATATATACCAAACTTATTAGGTAATTCTTAAAATTTTAGTGAAAAAAAAAAGGTTCGAGTGAAATTTGTTATGTCAAAATCAAGACCACCAGAGACAAATCAAACAATAAGGTATAAAAGCTTTATACAAAATAACTAATTATCTTCTTCATTGTATAAATTAGTTCATACTTTAATATCATATTATATAAAATAATTCTGTTTTTTTTAAGTGAACAAAGTGAGAACATTCCTGCTACTAATGCAACAACTAAGAGTGTGTCTGCTACACATAACACAACTGACAAAGAGAGCAGGGATGAAAGGTATACTAATGATCAATTTTATATAAACAAATGTTCATTTTTATAACAGTATATTTTATGTACAATTTATGTGCATTTTTTATTTAAAGTATTTCTTAATATTGATTTCAGCAAGCAAGAAGAAGTTCAACCAAAAGTGCAAAGCAATCCAGTAAAGAATAGTCTTGGCCAAAAGTAAGAAAACTTAAATGTTCAATTTAGATAGACTATATGTTCATTTGAAAATCAGTACAAAAAAGTTTGCTCATGGCCAATAGTAATATAAGTTATATGTTCATTTTTTTATTTACTAATCAAAATTGTAAATTCAAACATATTTTTAATGAAATATCAGAAAACCCAAAGATGATTCAAGAATAACAACATTAAAGGACAAGATGCAAGAAATACATTTAGACATAGAGAGAAACCCAAAGTATGTTTAAATTTAAATAATTGAATTAATTTAATCAATTAATGAATATATTTCAAAGTTAATATCATACATTTACAGAAAGTACAAAGAATCGACAATCAGAATTATGAGAAATCTCAAAAGAATGGAAAAGGCAAGCAAGGAAATCAGGAAAGGTAAATGATCATATTTATTGAATATTTTTGTTTAATAGTCATAAATATCAATTTTAACAATACTATTACTTTTGAAGGTGAAGCAAAAAAGAAAGAAAAAGGGCCAATAGAAGAGAAAACTGTGGAAAAAGGTAAAAATTTTAAAATGTACATTTTTATTACAAAAAATGTTCATATTGGAAAAGCATAATATTAAATATTCAATAAGATTAAAAAAATTAAATTTTAACTAAATAAATTTTAATAGAAGTACAAGAAGGAAAAAAAGGGACTGAAAAAGAGAAAAGCCCTAAAGACAAAACTGTGGAAGATGTCTTTCCAAAGACAACAAATGTAGAAGGTAAAAATTTATAAATGTACATTTTTATTACATAAAATGTTCATATTGGATCTACATAATATTGAATGTTCAATAAGATTAAAAAAATATATAAATATTAACTAATTAAATTTTCATAGAAGGACAAGAGGGAAAAAAAGAGCCTGAAAAGGAGAAAATCCCTAAAGAGAAAACAGTGGAAGATGAGTCTACAAAGACAACAGATCCGAAAGGTAAATAGTGGAAAATGTACATATTCATTACCTGAAATGTTCATTTATATTGTATATAGTAAACTTTTGTCATCCAATTTAATAATGTTTATTTAATCTTTTATATTTGATCATTTCATATGCAGCACAAATTGCACCTGATTTTGTTCAAATTGAGGATGAAACTTATCTTCTAGATCAAGATGATGATAAAGTTTCCACAAAACTTAGTGAGGAGACAGCTCCATCATCACAAAAAAGTGATCAGTCAACCAAAATGAAAACAAGATACAAAATGGTTGCAAGGAAAAACAAAAACAAAAGCCTTGTTGTTGTGCCAAGTGGTAGAATTACAAGGAGCCAAGGTAATCATAATACTTTTCTGTTACACAATAAATATTACACTTTCAAATATACTAACATAAATTTTTTTAAAAACAATAGATGTTCTGTTAGATGAATCTAAAAAGGGAAGCCTGAAGAAGGATGTTGAGCCTGCTAAAGAAACCGCAAAAATAGGACAGAAGAGAAGAATGTCTACAAGGAATTTTCCTATTCAAAAGGAAGCTGATGCACCACCTCCAGCACCTACTCCAATAAAAAAAATGGCAGGTGCTCCTGCTGAATATCCTCCAGACCAAGGCAAAAAGGGTAAATGTTCAATCTTAATGTATAGAATGATCATTTATGATGGTATATCATTAATGTTCAATTTCAATATATAGGTGGGAAAAAGAAAACTCTAGAAGTGAAGAAAACTTCTAAGGTTGCTGGCAAAAGAAAAGCAGGTATATAATGATATATTATAAATGTTCAATTTCTATATATAGAATGATCATTTGAGAAAACAATTTTGTTCATTTTATCATTTGCTTACTGTACATTTTCAATACTTAAACAAAATTATATATTTTAATTTTCAGATGTCAGTCCTGCCAAGAGAAATGCTGGAAAGAGAAAAAAAATACAAGAAGTACCATCAGATGAACCCTCTCAAGATCCTGACAGTGATGATGATAGTGAAGAGTCAGTTTATAGAGCAGAAGAAGAGCCTGTCAGTGAGGATGATTATGAGGTGGAGGAAGAGGAGGAAGAGGAAGAAGTAAAGCCAAGGAAGAAACAGGCAAAGAAAGGGAATTCAGTGAAGGCAAAGGTTGAAAAGGAGGAGCAAAAGATGGTACTGTATGATGAAGGAAAGATTGAAGGTAGGAGAAAAAAGAAAATGAAAACTGAAATGGTTCAAGCAATAGAAACTGATGAAGTTGAGGAAATTCAGGAAGATGAATTTGAGGAAGAGAAATCTTCAAAGAGAGGAGGACATGTGAAGTTCATTGCATGGATAAAAAAGATGACACCTACCCAAAAACAACAAATTATTGATATAGGGTTAGGATCACTTCTTGACATTAGTTTACCTCAACTTGATCAAAAGTTCTGTAACTGGTTATTGGGAAGTTTTGAAGAAAAATAGCCAGTATTTTGAACTACCAAAGAATGAAAAAAATAGAAATTGAGTAGAGGATGTTAGGGTAGTTTATGGCTTGCCTACAGGAGAAATTCCAATTGTTGAGCCAAAGTCTGATAAAATTAGTGAGGAGTATGCAGAATTTCTGAAGAAATGGAGAAAATCATGGTCAGGAAAAAACTCCATCAGTGAGTCAGGTATGATCAGTTTTAAATGTTCATTTTAAATACATTAAATGATCAAAAGTATAAATGTTTTGTTCATTTTGTTTGCAGATTGTGAATGGATACATAAATGATAAATTCACCAACAACAGACCACCAAGTGAACATTTCATTACTAACTTTTTAGCAGTGGCTGTGAACTGCTTGATGAAATGTGTATCAAACAATCAATGCCATTTCAAATTTCTTTATTCTATGATGGACAAAGAAAACATAAAAAATTTGAACTGGTGTCAGTTTGTATATGACTCACTTATCAAATGTCATGTTGATTGGAGAAAGCAGCAAGGCAAGGGGTTCTACAAAGGCCCTCTTCAATTTCTGATGGTATATTCTTAGATACAAGATGTTCATTTAAATTTAAATAAATGCACTTTTTTTTATTGTTTATGTTCTGTTCCATGTTTTCTTTTTTCTTGTAGTTGTTCTATTTTGATAGAGTTCAGAGGTTAGACAAAAGGCCTCCAAGAACAATTCCTATCATATCTGCATGGAATAGAGACATGGTTCTTGAGAGGTTGAAGATTGAATTAGAATTGGGATTTGGGAGAGGGAAAATTCTACCAAGGATTGCTGCAGAAGTTGAAGAAAGTCCTAAAGTTATAAAATGATCACTTTTGTTAACATAAATGTTCATTTGTATAATCTGAAATGTTCAACTGCATAATTTTTAATATTCATTCATATAGGTTTTTATGGATGATTTTGTTTCCCTGGTAAAAAACAACTTGTTCAAACCTGTCAAAGCTTTCTTCAAAATTGGTGAAGGCAAAGGATATCTTCCCTGGAAATGACTTGGTGAAAAAAGTTGATGAAGTTTTAGGAAAGGTGGTAGCTAGGGAACCATCAATTCTAAGCCAAGATGAAGAATTCTTTGGCAGTGAGGATTTCCTAAATGCACTTGCACAAGCTGAGAAGAATCTGATGCAAGGGTCTGAAAAGCAAACAACTGAGAAGCAAATGACTGGGAAGAAATTAACCAAAAAGGGAAAGGAAAAAGAACAAGAATATGACATCAGAAAAGCTTTCAGCTTGGGGTTGACTCCACCTTCTCCAGCCATTGGTAAATTCTAACTAAAAGAGACTATATATCCTAATTTTTATATGAAAAATTCTAAATTTGTGGTCTAAATTGTCCTAAACAGAAACAGGGCCCACCTTTTCAACACTTGGTGATATAATTGAACAACCAATAATTTCAACAAATGGTAATATGTTCATATATTTAATAATAATGTACATAAACTTAAGTAGAAATGTTCATTTCTAATTATTATGTGTAAATACTATTAACTTAGTGTATCTCCAAAATGATGATTTATAATACAGCTGGAGAAAAGGATGTGGGTAAAACTTCAGCAGCTTCAGAACAAAGAATTGAAGAATTTTCTAGAACTGGTATAATGTTCAATTAAAAAGTGTAAAATGTTCATTTACAAACAAGAAATATTCATTATTAATTGTATTATTTTGTTAGACGCAGCAACTGGTTCAAAACTTGATGCTGACACTAGGTCAGATAATGAAGGATTGCCTAGAACAGGTATAATGTTCAATTATAAATACTCAAATGTTCATTTACAAAGAAATTATATTATATCTAATTAAATTTTTTCTTAGATGCAGGATCTGGTTCAGTGGTTGATGCTGACCCTAGGTCAGATGGTGGTGAAAAAAGTGATGATCCAAAAAACACAGTTGGAGGTGGAAAACAAAACAAGGAAGATGTTTTTGAAAAAAACAAAAAATGATGAAAAAGTGGAGGGGTAAAATCCTGAAGACATGTCTTACTATTAGGGTTATGTAATGGTGTAGGATAAAATATCTAGATGGAACAATTTAACTTATGTTACTATCGTGTTGTAACTTGAAACTGGTGTTTCTCAAACTATTGTATGTGTGAACATTATTTTGTTGAATATGTAATATGAATGTGTGGTTTATGTTAAATCAATAGGTTTATGTTAAATCAATATCTTTCATTTTATGAATTGAAAATGATTCAGGGTGTTACATAAGAAGCTTTTATTTTATTAATATGTACTGACATTGTTTCACTTTTCAGTGAAAACAAGAAGATTGTTGCTTCATCCTCAAAAGTCACAAAAAGGTACATTATTTATATTAAGTAAATGTTCAAAAATAATAATGAACATTTTCATATACCTAAATGTACATTTGTGTTATGTAATATGACCAGGAATGATGATAAGAAAAAGTCAATTGCAGAAAAGAAGAAAAAAACTGAAAAGGAAAAGGTTGAAAGGTATAATTTCAAATTTATTTATATACACTCAAATGTTCATTTATGTTCCTCATAATTTTCTTAATTTAACAATATTTTATATTGAACAACAAGACCAAAACGCGAAAAGAAAACACTTCCTCCTGCTTTCCGATCTCCTTACTTGGTCAAGTACAAGGATCTGTTTAAAGATGAGAAAGCCATGAACCAAATTGCAGTAGACTTTGCTCTTGGTGGAAAAGATGAAAGGTAATTACTTACACTAATTAAACTTAAGGTTTAATATCTTTTATAAAAATATGTTCACATTCATATTATTAAATGTTCATAATGCAGTGCACTCTTATACTATGATGGCTTGAATCTCATCAATAGAAATGAAATGAAAACTCTTGGAGATGATGTTGAAGTGACAAATTGTGTCATAGATGGATGGGCAAGGTTTCTTAATCATAAAAAGCCGAGAAACAAGATTTATTTCTCAACAGTGCTTCATGTTAGTCTTTCTTCTTTTTTTATATTATTGATTCTATTTTCCTATGATAAATAATTGCTAAAAATTCATTTAACTTCTATATGTTTGTTTGTATTTCAACAGCACATTATGTGCACAAATAAAGTTTGTCAAGAAGGATCATCAATGAAGACAAGAATTAATGCCTTCATAGAAAGAATTGACAATGAACTGAAGTTGAATAAAATTGACAGCATTGTTGGATATAAACAGGTATTAATTCTTGTTTAATACAAATGTTCAATTACCTTCAATATATTGTCCAATAACATTATATAATTTGTTCAGGTCTTCTTCCCAGTATCAACTTCTCAACATTTTTTTCTGTTGTGCGTCAATCATATAGAAGACAAAATTCATATAATTGACAATAGAAAACTACCAAAAAAGGTATCAGTCCAAGCAAAATATGAAGAACAACCAAAAATGATGGTGAGATAATATGTTCATTTATAGTTGACTACATGATCAATTATATTTTATTAATTGTTCATGTCTTCATCACAATACAAACTTCTAAACAATTTTTACTCTTTTTTCTATCAGTTAAAAGGATTGGCAGAGTACATGAAACACCTTGGATATCAAGATGCAAAAAGAATTGAAGACTACACAGTTGTTTTGGAAAAGATGAAATGGCGTAGCAACAATGACTATACAAACTGTGGAGTTTACATTATGAAGCATATGGAAACCTTCACTGCTGATCCTAATGAGAGCTGGATTTGTGATTTAAAACCAAACAATGTAAGAGTTATAAATGATCAATTATTTAAGATATAATATTCATTTATGAAACAGTAAAGATTGTTTAATTAAAATTTGACAATTCATTTTGTTCAACAGGTGGAACAAATTAGAAATCTAAGGCTCCAATACACAGCAGAACTGATGTTATTTGAAGAAAACACTGAATCAAGAGCAAATAGAAGGAAAGCTAGAAAATTTGCAACTTTGTAGTTTCAAATGTTCATTTACAACTATGTATATGTTCATTTCTTATATATGACTATTTTTTTTTTTTAGAAGTAGACTTATGGATTTTATTTTAATATTATTGTAATTGATATTTCATTTTAATCTTTGAATGAAAGTTTTTTATATAATAGATCGAAAATTCAAAATTACAAAATAGTAATTAAATCAACATTACAAAAAAGTCTAATGTTTATAAAGTTCTGGAATACTAATTATTTATCTTTATTAGCCAAACGTTTAGCTACACTTGTATCAAAAAAGGCTAACAACCTATCATATTTAGAAGAAATCTTTTTAGAACCTAATTGAACATTTCTTGATTGAAGAATTGGAACACGAGCACCTTGATCATTTCTTTGAACTGTGGGAGGAGTAACTTGAACATTCTGAACAGGAAATCCTTGATCATTTATTTGAACCGTAGGAGAAATAACTTGAACATTTGTTGATTGAACATTCCTGGAGTTGGATATGATCATTTCTGGATTGGTGTTTGAACAATTCTGAGTTTGATTTTGAACATTCCTGGGAACAGTAGGTTGAATAACAACAGGAGATTTTGTTGACGCACTAGTATGAATTGGAACTCTTGGATTAATTTGAGAGTAAGTTTTAACACCAGAAGCACCTTCATTTGCACCAAAATTAGAACAAGGTTGAACAGCAGAAACACCTTCAAGATTTAAATCCTTCGCCTTTAAAAAAATTAAATTGATCATTAATAAACCAGTATATGATCAGTTACAAACACTTATACAAACAAATATGGAAAAAAAAAAAAACCTTAGCAATAGATGAAATATCAACATCAATAGATATGATAGATGAAAGAGAGCTTTCACCAGTAGCCTACAAAAAAACCAAAAAAAAAATATAAAAAATAAAAAATTAAATAAAAAAAAATTATAATATAGATCATAAATGTTCATATACCTGATCAAAATCATTGGAAATACTATGATTTGATTCCTTAGAACTAGAAGGAATTTCTTCTACAACAGCTGATTTTAAAGCCGACCTATATTTTTAAATTATAAAAAATCAATATTAATAAAATATAAATAAAATGTTTTTTTTGGCACATTTGAATTTACCTGAGCCCGTTATTGCTCAAAACAATCAATTCAATGGGATCACTAATAGAATTAGCATAAGTAACAGCACAACCGTTCTCATCAAGTTCCTATTTTAAAAAAAAAAAACATAAATGATCATTTACGAAAACTGAAATGATCAATTTGAAAATATGAAATGATCATATACCTGTACAACTGCTTGCCCTATACCCCTTTTGTAAGGAGTGTACAGAGACTTTTTCCTCTTGAAATTACCCTTTGCCTTGTTACACTGCTTCTCCAAGTACTCTTAGGCCTTACATTCCTCTCACCTTTAGGCCTAGCTTTTGGAGGATTCTTGATCTCAAGATCAACAATTTCAACCTCTTTAACAGGTTCACTAAAGTCAATTACACCTGATACACTCTCAACCTTTTCTTTTAACAGATTGAAATAACACTCAACCTCTGCCCTTGCATTCAAAAGAATTCTGACAACTTGTTATCAACTTAACAAACTTTCTGATTGTTTGTGACCTCCAAACACTAGTAGCCACAACATTTGTCCTCAAAGTAGGTTCTTCAAATACCATGACTACACATGGCAGCCTTTGTCCATCGTTTCATTATATACTCTTGTGGAATATTACGCACACAATGCAAATGATATACTCGAAGAGAATGAGAACAAAGTAAACCAGTCTCACTAAAGTACATGCATGTGCAACAAATTGCATGTGTTTCCTTATTAAAAACAACTTCATGCTTAATTATATCCTTCCCAGGCCTCCAAAGAAGATATGAATATTCTGGAAAACGCAAAACCATTATCAACATGATCATAAGCTGTCCCCCTAATGAACTCCTCTTCAAAAAGAACATAAGCTTGAATAGTGTACAATGATTCTTGCATGAACTAATATACCAATATTAGCAAAAAGCTAGGTGCCTATTACCCCTCAGAGTATTGTAATCTCTTGCACCTTCCTTACTTCTCCACTCAGAAATGACATCAAGAAAAACATGATAAAAATCACATAAACCTTGAGTCTTATTAAGACGTTGTGAAACTGACCTTATTAGTAGTTTCACTACGTTGAGAAGACAATATACCACCAGACCAATACTTCTTAGAATAAGCAGGACACCACATTTCCTTTATTTTATACAAATCACATAAACCAATCATCATTTTCACATTTGTATTTATCACACATCCTGTATAACAGAAATGATCATATATTAATTTAAAAAATGAACAAAATATAAATTAAAATATGTACATTTGTGTAAAGAATAATGATCATAAACAATATGGACACTAATAATATTATGATAACATACATAACAAAGTAAATTGTATGATCATATGTAAAACACTAAAATGTTCATATATATATCACATAATAATCAAAATATATCACATAATAAAAATAAAAAATAAATATAAAAAACAATAATTTACCTTTTCCAGAAATATTCAAATTCAGCAGGAGTTTCACAATACTTCAAAAGATATCCAAACAAATCTGTAAAAGCCTTCCAAAGCTCTCAATGCTCCAATGTGTTTCTTAGAATTTTGTTCAAGATGCCATACACATAAACGATGATGAACAGTTGAAGGAAAAATGTTTCTTATAACCCGCTGCAATCGCTTGTGCTTGATCAGTCATAATTGTAAATGGGACTTTTCCTCCCCATTGAGTGCAAAAAATGTATCAAACAACCAATCAAAAGACTCGGTGCGCTCATTAAGAATAAAACCCATACCAAAACATGACATTGTTTACCATGATGGTTCATCCCAACAAATGGAGCACATATCATTCCATATTTATTAGTTCTATAAGTTGTATCAAAAACCAACAAATCTCCAAAGTAATGATAATCTCTCATCATCCTACCATCACGCCAAAAAAAACTAACTAAAGCACCACTATCATCTTGTTCAAAATCATAATAAAAATCTGTCTCATCCACATGTCTCTTGGCAAAATATTTAATCAATTGGTTACCATCACATCCTTCAATTTGGGCAGCTTTTTCAGATGACAATGCATTTATAAGCATCAGAAGCAGTAAAACAAAGATTAGGAAGATCCCCCAACCTCCTTCTTTAGAACCCTCAAAGAATCAGTAACTTTTGACTCCACTCAATTTCATTGTTGAAATGAAAAG